TTCAAGTCAGGGAAACAATCAACACCAATACCAATACAAGTAACCTAGAAGGTGTAAGAACACACATAAACAACCAATCACATCCAAGATGACCAGGAGAGATGATTAGTAAACTCGTGGAGAAATCTAAAAGCTCACTTAATCGAATTGAAGTATCCGCTGAAGATGTCACTGATATGTACCCATTTATATATATATATATATATGTTGGTCTCTCTTTCTGTTTTCTCGCTTAGTCTGTGACCATTTCACTTGTATGAACTTGTCTCCTTTAACAATGTATATTCTCCTTATATTCTATATAATATGAGTGGTTGTTGACAGTCCGTTGCCTAGTGACATATATCCATATATGGTGGTTGTTGACATGTCTGCTATATTTTGCTATGTATATATGGATCGATACTTCATGATAATTAGCCATTCATGTTAAGACTGTGTAATGATTTGTTCACACACTTGTCTGGACGGTCATGTTTATATTTCGTTCTCACAATCTTGTGACTGACTTACACTTACTTACTTTGGTGTGATACCACTTATTGCATTCTCCTTGTGTTTGGAAAATAGAAGTATCATCACAAACCTAGTGGTCTTCTGATTTCCGCCTTCTTGCGTCAGGACTATTAGTTTCTCGACCAGTCCATAACAATAATCTGTCGACGAGTCCATAACAATAATTTAGCGACGAGTACATAACAGTCACTTAGTAGGATGATGAAAGGTTCGCAAATTAATTATCCAGCTAGCTCAGATAACACAACCACATCAAAATCATCCACCTGAGCTACAAATCTTCTCTATCATATGATTCATACTTATAACTTCATAGGGTTATGAATACATACTGGTAAGAAGTTTCAAACTACAACGGAATAGATGCTCAGCGGTTCTTTGTTTTTTTTTTTAAATGGTTACCTGACTAATGCATTGGTTCATGACAAAGTCTACATTGAGATGTGAACCAAATTTCTACTAATACTAAATTATGGAACACAAAATAATTCAGCAAAGGATATTCTTTTCGATAAATTCCTCTTCTGGCTCTACAATTATATATCTATATGTATATATACACAGAACATTCTAGAATAGTAGTCAATACCAACATTAGTGTTTTTAAGAATAATATCGATTTGTAAAGTAAGATCATTGGAATTAGAGTTCATTAAAGATGCTTAAATTATAATAGTAATAAAGACATAATAGCGAATAGGGTATCAAATGAAATTAGGAAAATTCTACAAAAATTGAGGATCATTCAAACCTAGATGGCCAAGGTAAGGACAATATCTGGACTAACTTCTTTTGGACGCACAAATTAGGCTTCATAATATGGATCCCAACAGCCGACCTCAGCAATATTTAGTAGTCGAACTCTTAAGATTCGTAGATATGCGGTAAATGACTCTGAAAGCATGGTTAACATCAGTCTTGTGTTCTGTAACCACAAGATTAGATAGAATAGCGCTACGAATAGATTTGGTTTGTTCTTTACTTAACCAACAATGCAGGATGGTGTTTGGAAATCCGATGAGAAACACGTCTAATTGTACGGCCTATGTAACTGGCTCCACAGGAGCAGTTTAATTGGTAGATACACATGGAAGAGGCGAAATTAGTCAGTTTGTCTTTGATGTGTTCCAATTTGTGGGGAATAACACATATATCAACTTTTTGAAAGTTGCTGATTTTGCATTGCTAGAGGACTGTGTTATAAGATCATAATCGACATTGATAACTATTTGATATGTATCCATATAATATGTGTGTTGTTTGACAGTCTGTTATATTTGCTAGGTATATATGCATCGATATTCCATTATAATTAGCCAATCATGTTAAGACTGTCTATTGATTTGTTCATTTTGAATATTCGCTCACACACTTGTGTTCACACACTTGTTCGGACATTCTTATATATTTTTGCTCTCACATTCTTGTGTGACATTGATTCTCCTGGTGTTTGGAAAAAAGAAGTATCATCGCAAACCTAGTGGTCTTCTGATTTCCGTCTTTTTTGAGTCAGGACTATTAAATTCTCGACCAGTACATAACAGTCTTTTACTCTCGAACGCAAAAGAGTATTGGTTTTGAAGAAACAGAATAATTCGGCAGTAGGGAATGCTCTTTTTTTCAATAAATTAGTGGCCAATCGATGACAATGCTGAAATTCTAATGACAGAATTCATAACCGCTGAGGTTATTAATGTCATTTATGAAGCGAATGCTCATTGATTCACGTATATGAGTGAATGAACGTTCACTTGTCTGACAAATGCATATTAGGACATGATTATACTCTGCTAATATGATCAGTCGACGAGGCTATAAAGTTACATAGATTGAGATGGATAGGTCACGTGCTGCGCACGCCTAACCATCGCCTCCACCGACGAGCATTACTAGCTGATATAGATGCAGGCTGGAAAAGGGTAAGTGGTGGCCAAACAAAAACATGGCCTCATCAATCCATGAAATGAATCCTTGACAGTTAAACTGAATCAGGTAGGAAGATGCAGACTTCCGGTTTGGGGCCCTTGGGACTGACTCTAGGAATCAATGGCTGGAGACAATAGGTGACATGGCTCAAAATCGTTGTCAATGGCCAGCGCAGATGTATTCAGTCTCTGTAATCTTTCATATTCCTTCTTTCTACCATTACCCATTCTGTTTCACTCTTATACTTGTCAAACTCTATTGATTCTCTTCACTCATCTTCTTGTCCACCTTTGTGCGCTATTTGGAACGTGGCAACTCGAACTGGTGCACTTCAGTGCCAAGCTCTATGTTCTATGAATCCAGACAGACAGAGAGCTGATAACTATTAAGTCAAGTTCACTATCTCTTGTTCTCAAGATTACTTTCAAATTTAATTCTGATTACAGATTACTTCTGACCTTCTCCAAAGCCGTTGAAAATGAAGAAAAAAGACAGATTAGTCGGTGTCAATGAAGACAATTCGACATTTAATATACAAAACTACAGTATTTACAGTTATTATGTACCTCAGAAAGTTAAGCTAACAAATAACCAATTATATTCGTCGTATAAGGTGTCGGACTTCCAGATTGTCCAATAGCATTGTAGCAAATATATTATGCCTTCATTTAATGGTGTAAATTTATCCAAAACTGGTTAAAGTCAGTCTAAAAAACTGTTCTAGATAGTTTAGCCACACATCATCTCAAGAGTTTTTATTCCATAAAAATCAATAATAAGTACACTGAGAATAGCAATGATTAATAAGTGTAATTCTGGCAGGGATATAAAATCTATTGAATTTTTTATTGATTTTTACTTTAGTCAAGTATTCTCTGATAATATTGATACCAGCTTTGTAAATTTTCCAAAGGTAACTTGAAAATGGCACCCTTATACATTGGAAAGGATACTGTCCTAAAGTGGCTTCTAAGGCTCAATCCTGGTAAGTCCAGTGGCCCTGATGAACTCCACCCACGTATATTAACAGCATTGGCTGAAAGCATAGCCGAGCCATTGTCGGTAATCTTCAATATGTCTCTGGACCAGTCTAAATGTCCAAGAGACTGGAAAGATGCCATCATTAGTCCGGTCTTCAAAACCGGATCTAGAAACTTAGTTCAGAACTATCGTCCTGTTAGTTTGACCAGTATTGTTGTTAAACTACTAGAAAGAATAATTCGTGATGCTATCATTCAGTTCATTGAAGGGAACAAACTTTTCGCTGTGGAACAGCACGGTTTTAGAGCAGGTCATTCTTGCTTGACCAACCTTCTTTTGGCCAGAGAAAGTTGGGCAAGCTCAGCTGATGCTAATATACCGGTGGATGCCATATTCATAGACCTTAGCAAGGCGTTTGACAGGGTTTCTCATTCAGGTCTTCTAGTAAAGTTAGGTAGTCTGGGAATCAATAAAGTGGTTACCGACTGGATTCAAGACTTTCTAAAGGACAGAAGACAAAGAGTACGAGTTAACGGGGTTTTATCAACATGGGAATCGGTTAAGAGTGGCGTTCCTCAGGGTACAATTCTAGGCCCACTTCTTTTCCTGATTTATGTTAATGAGATTCCATCGGTAGTTAAGTCATCCTGCTTACTGTTTGCTGATGACATCAAGATATGGAGGGCTTTGCACGATGACAGTGATCAACTTGCTTTGCAGGAAGATTTAAACTTGTTAAGTGATTGGTGTAAGCACTGGGCCTTGGAGATTAACTTAAGCAAGAGTGTAGTTATGCATGTATCCCATAGTCACGTGCACAATTACTCAATGAATGGCATTACTCTCCCAGTGGTCACTGAGTACAAGGACTTGGGAGTGGTTGTGCAGCATGACTTGAAAACAGCAACAAACTGTAGAACTGCAGCCACTAAGGGTTTTAGAATGTTATGGGCCATACGCAAGGCTTTTGCGAACTTTGACGCTGATATATTTCGTATATTATATCCGACTTATATCAGACCTCATTTGGAATATGGGATCCAGGCAGCGAGCCCGTGTTTCAAATACGAAATAGACTTATTAGAAAGGGTGCAAAGAGTAGGAACTAAGCTAATAAAGGGTTTCTCAACCCTGTCATATGAGGAGAGGTTAAGTCGACTGGGTTTATTTCCACTGTCATACAGACGACTTAGGGGTGACCTAATACTAGCATACCGTATCCTAAGAAATGATTTTGGAGCTAATTTATCTAAATTATTTCTTCCTTCTAGCACCAACCAATTGCGAGGACATCACCTCAAGGTTCAAAAACCACGGTCGAATCGTCTGCGTCTGGAAATCCGTTTTTCGCATCGAATTGTGAACCATTGGAACTCCCTACCGGAACACGTCGTATCAGCGCCATCCGTTGATTCATTCAAGGCGAGATTGGACCTCCTGTATGCAATAAATCGAAAGGATTAACACAGGCATATAGCCTACTATCCTAAATAAATTGTAAACTGTAAACTTTTCTTTTTCTTTCTAATGAGCAAAAATTTTTGAAAAGTTGAATGAAATATATTCAGTTTTAGATTTTAGAAATTATCATTAATTACGCTTTGAATAAATTTCCGATGTGTAGCAACACTAGAAAATACAAACCAACCATTTCCAGCTATTGAAGTGATACCGATAACATGTCCGTCTTCATTGAATATTGGTCCTCCACTATCGCCGACATCTGGTCCTTGTTCATTTGAATTTATATTAGCACAAAGTGCACCTTTTGTTGGTATATTTATATTATTTGGACATTCAGAAAGTTTGATAATACCTAAAAGTGTAAAAAGTAAAACTAAGGTTACTTAAATGTATTATATGTGTGACCAAACCAAGTTAACGATTAAAAGTTTGAGAAAATTTTGTCATTATTGTTATTATTCCTTTGGGTCTCCAGTGGAACACTGGGCTTCAACAACAACACATGTCCCACTTTCTTCTATTTTCTGCACTCCTCTTCAGCTTTCCGAGCGTACAATCACCCATAATCTCTCATCTGCTTCTCCTCCGCCTCTTCCGCTTTCCCCAAACGGTCTCCTCCATGTCACCCTCACACCAACCACACATTTGTCGCCGACTCCCATTCCACTTCCACTCGAGTGATGACCTGCATTGCTTACGATGTTATTTGACTGTCTCCTCAATGTGTACCCAATCCATCCATCTAAAATTTCTCCTACATATTTGTTAGTCAAAAAGGTATTCCGAAAACATGAACCTTAACAGTTGTCATTCCATATAGAGCGGAGACGTCAGAGGATATCAGAAGAGTATTCAATGAGCACAACAGACATCAGAGTTTTCTTCAAAACATCAGAGGCACTACGAAACAATCTTATCCATATAGAAAAAACCAAATCCCGAAAGATTCTCTGTTTAATTGTGTCTATAAAATAAAATGCCTTCTTGGAATGTGATACAACATACATTGGACAAACCTCGTTATAGCGAAATCAAAATTAGAAGAAATAAACACCATAGGGCATATGTTTAACCATCAAGAAATTCAGTTGAACTAAAAAAGCTTGAAAAATTATAAGCCATAGGTATCTTGTTATAACTGTAGGGAATTGAATGAAGACGTTTTCACCTTGCTCTGTCTGCGCCTGAACTAATCTGCCTATCTGCTTGTCGTACCTTCCGATTTAGTAAAGCACGCAAATATCAAAAGACAAAGGCTGGACTGTGTATTGAAGTGCAACAACGATAAAGAAAGCCATGGTATTTATACATTTTACAACAATATGGACAGCTAACAGCATTTGAAGTAATTTATCTTAATAGCCAATAACAAAGTGCGTGAGAGATGATAATATACCATATGTGCGAGGTTGACAGTCAGTAACAAAATGTGTGGGAATGACAATATACCATATATACAAGATTAGCAGTCAATACCAAAATGTGTGAGAATGATAATATACCATATATACAAAATTAGCAGTCACTACCAAAATGTGTGAGAATGATAATATACCATATATACAAAATTAAACAGTCAATACCAAAATATGTGGGATCCTATCATATCTACACATGGTGAAGGATAAGGTCACAAAATTGATTTTGATGATACTGAAATCACCCAGAAAAATCGCAAAAATTGTAAAAAAAAAACATCTCATATCATCTAGAAAACTTCAAATTAAACAGGAATCCAAATTTTCTGAATAGGATTGACAGAATTAGACAGAATTTGATCTGGTTACAACCTCCCCTCCCCCAAAATGAAGTGAAGACAAAAATCAACAAACATTCGAAAAGCAATTTCATAATGTAAACACATTCTGTTTTTGTAGTTTTATATACACTTATCACATTCAACAATCAACACGTGGTTTTATTATCTTTACCAGTTGACCTACTTGACAACGCAAAAAAATCACCACATGCTCACTGTGTATAAGATGATATTTTGTAAATTTTTGTTTGATAATACTTTGATAAAGCTATCAGCATTAGATAGCGAAACGTCAGTAAAAACAACGACAATATCATTTTGTTTTTCATTCATTCATTGAGAAACAAAAAAACTTGCAGGCGAAAACCAACAAACTACCTGAAGAACCAGTCGATGAAGACAGAACTGTAGGTGAACATATAGAGCACGGAGGTGATCAAGATATCCAGCCAACAGTGATAACAACAAGAACAACGACCAGTGCCAATCATCATCAATGGGAAAGATTTGACAGAGGTCACTTCTTGCCTTCACTTATCTGGCTAGGAAGCACGGTTTCAGACACAGGCAGTTGGAATGTATGAAGATCTGGAAGCAAGTCAAGGAGAATCGGAAAGGTCAGATAGACCATCATCAACCTGAAACCAACTGGCAAATCTTCTGCACTAACTCAGCCAGCATAAACAACAAGATTCAGATTCTATTCAACACAAATGTAAATGAAGTCAAACAGTTCTTCTGTATAGATCAAAAGCTTTCAATGCTCGTCGCGGAAAGGATATCCAACAAGTTACAGACTTTTATGAACAGCTGCCGCCTTCCCTGGCTGGCTGGTTCCATACTGAAGATCAAATGGCCAGTTAGCCAGCCTTCCGACCAGAAAGAATTAGCAAGAAGAAACTCTGCCTGGCTGGGAATATACCACCAACAGACGAGAACCAATCGCTCTGGAGATGGGTGGATTGGGCATAAATTGAGCAGGGCGTTGAATGACACCACCCTCAATGCAGGCCATCACTCAAGGGGAAGTGGTGGAATATGCAGAGGCGACGAGTGGGAGCGCGGTGCGAAGGTGACATGGAGGAGATGAGATATTATGGTCAGTTCCGAACTACTCAGGTGGAGGGGAGAGTAGAGAATAGAAGAGAGTGGAGATTTGTTGTTGAAGTCCATTGTCCCACTAGGAATTCAAGGAAATAATAATAATAATATAATATATAATGCTCAGTTTTTTTTTCACACTGTTAAATGTGAACTTGGTTTGCACATAAAATACATCGTTACTTGGAATTACATCTTCGTTGTGAACCGAAATATACTAAAAAAATTAAATAACAAGTAGGTTTGAATCATTCAGAGGATATCGGTTGCTTTGGTGTCACAGATGTGTCTCGTCAACAGCTGGTAACAGGCATGAAATCTGGCGGAGGCAGGACTTCCTACTAAATTACCTCAACTCATGATCTAATATCAATTCAAAGTGAACTGAGGTGTGATTCTTAGCAAGGTAATCACATTACATACTTGACTGATAGAATTCAGTTAGGACTAATAACTAGACACATGATATTGTCGATTACAGTCCCAAAGGAGGTTAGTCGGCATCTCAGTAACTCAGTTGTCGCCTCTGTGTGATTACGGTTTTCGGTCATCAAGGGAGGTGTCGGTAGCTGAGAGGTAGAATACCCACCGACCATACACATCAGCTACCGACATACTCCTAAGCCCCTCTCAGCTGTTAGTAAGGCTATTACAGAAGGAAGGTTAGGAGGGCGGTGTGAGGCCAACAACTTTACTCCGTAAAAATAAATACCACTGCTACCGAAACTTAAAAGTCCCAGCTTGAATCCCTGTGTTCCCCTCGGAACGTAAGAGAAAAAAATAGGGGGGGGGGAATCAGTTCCTAGGAAGTTGCAGACGATTCTCGGTAATCATAAAAATATAGGTTCTTGGCTGACTACCTTCAATTGTCTAGTAGTAACAAGCAATCTTAAACCTTCATGTGGTTGTGTTCTCTGAGCTGGATGGTTAATTTGTGAAGCTTTCATCACCCTACTGGGTGGCATCTTCGGCGCGTACTTCAATTTGGAGTAAAGTATTGAAGTATGAAAAGTATGAAGTATGAAAATTGAAGTATGTGCTGTAGATGTCACCCAGTAGGATGACGAAAGCTTCACAAATTAACTATTCAGCTCAGAGAACACAACCACATCAAAATCATCCACCTGAGCTACAAATCTTCTCTATCATATCTAAATCTTAAACCTCTTTTCTGTCCTGGTTTCAGACTCTTCATTGTCTCGCACAAATGCTGTCATCCTTTGTAACAAACATGTTTAATCCCAACTAGTGGTTTGGAGTCTGATGATTCATAATTTATCGACAATGGAGCATGTAGACACCACTTATATGTCAGTCATATGTCAGTCTTCTTGCGCTCCACAGCCCATGCCATAATCTACCGTCCACTACAGTCAGGAATATCATCGTTAGTGATAGTAAACAACCTTCTCCTTTATGTTTCAAGTGGAACCTCGGACTTCAAGTTAGAGGCTTGAAATTTCTATAGAAATGGTGTTTATTTTTACGGGATGGGGTTGGTAGCCTCATACCCAACCATCCCTCTTTGCCAGTCTTATTACTGGCTTAGTGAGGTTTAGGAGTGCGGCTTCGGCCGGGGGATCGAACTGCAGACTATGCAGATTGCAAAATAAATGAGAAAATATAGTACAGATAGTCTAGAGCAAACGGCTGTAAGTATACGAAGAGAGAATGTAATCATGAATTCACTGAGCTGGATTAAATTCCAATTTCTAATTTCTATTGAACAATCAGAGAGGAAATTCTGGAAGTTCTCGATAGATTTTGTAATTATCATGGACATCCACTAGGTTGAATTTCAAGATAAATAACTGCTCACCAGAAAGAGTGGTGTCTTTTTGATTTGACACTAGTAACTAGTGTGACGTATCTAGTCCTCTCATTGATGCAGACTGAATTCTATCAGTTAAGTTGTAATGTGGCCAACATTCTAGCTAGCTCACCATCACGGTGCACATTGACTTGATGATATTAGATGGTTAGAGGCAATCAGCAGGAAGCCTTGTACCTAGGTTCCGTGCTAGTTGCAACTCGTCAGCAAGGCTTATCCTCAACCTTCAAGGTTGCTTCCTGCCGATTGCCTCTAACCATCTAATATCATCAAGTCAATGTGCACCGTGATGGCGAGCTACCTAGAATGGTGGTCACATTACAACTTAACTGATAGAATTTAGTCTGCATCAATGAGAGGACTAGATACGTCACACTAGTTACTAGTGTCAAATCAAAAAGACACCACTCTTTCTGGTGAGCAGTTATTTATCTTGAAATTCAACCTAGTGGATGTCCATGATAATTACAAAATCTATCGAGAACTTCCAGAATTTCCTCTCTGATTGTTCAATAGAAATTAGAAATTGGAATTTAATCCAGCTCAGTGAATTCATGATTACATTCTCTCTTCGTATACTTACAGCCGTTTGCTCTAGACTATCTGTACTATATTTTCTCATTTATTTTGCAATCTGCATAGTCTGCAGTTCGATCCCCCGGCCGAAGCCGCACTCCTAAACCTCACTAAGCCAGTAATAAGACTGGCAAAGAGGGATGGTTGGGTATGAGGCTACCAACCCCATCCCGTAAAAATAAACACTATTTCTATAGAAATTTCAAGCCTCTTACTTGAAGTCCGAGGTTCCACTTGAAACACAAAGGAGAAGGTTGTTTACTATCACTAACGATGATATTCCTGACTGTAGTGGACGGTAGATTATGGCATGGGCTGTGAAGCGCAAGAAGACTGACATATGATGGACTGACAAAGCGAATGAAGAAGATCTGTTGTCTGTGGATCATTTATATCTATCTAATGTTTCACAAACTCGAAGACCAACAGGTGAAAATCACTAAGTTTGCAGAAGAGGTAAGGTAGACATAACTCCAAGTGGGCATAGCAAAGATAGAGGTGATGACCAACTAGAACAAGCACCAGTCACTTGGGGAAGTCTAAAGGGAGTCTTCCCTTTCACTTCCAGCTACATGAACAGCTGCATCTTTTCAACTACTCTGAAATCAGCACTCAAATACGGTTAAAATACTTGTCGGGAGAGTCATTAAATCACCTTAGTGCTTATGCAGACTTTTATCCACGCCTGGCTTTGTTGACTCACTTCTGAAGTTTAGATTGGCGCCAGGTAGGAATTAACAACAAGAAAATCTGACAGTGTAGCAAATCAGCCATGAGCCTATCACCCAACAAACAAGCAGAAGGAAATCGAGATAGATTGAGCATATGCTGAGGAGACCTCTGAGTGGTAACAACCACATGCCAGGTGGTGGGCTATCGAGTGGGACCTAAATGGAAAGTGGCGATTTTGGCATGGATTCGATAGTAAAATGGAGCAGATCCTGTGAGGAGGAAATGGAAAGATTTTGGGCGGTTATATAACCTGCGATTACTGGACAGCTGTTTCGTCCCATTTCGGGTCTGTTTATCAGTAGGCACCCCACAAACCACTAATGGACTACCAATGAGATGCTCACTAGCGACCGGTTCTATTCACGTAGGTAGTTACCTGGACTTCTAGTGGGAAGTCTTGACCTGTAGGGTACAGCTAGTGGTCCGCTGTGAGGACAAATACTCACCGAAGACATTGGCTAGTGCCAGTCACGTTATGTTGTGAATTGTCTGGCAGTAGTTGGAATTCATGGGTCGGACATTGGATTGGGCTACCAATTGCTTAGTGGTTTGCGAGCTAGCTCGCCTTGTTACCAGAAGGTTCTGTGTTCCAACCAGGGATTGCAGAGGACGGAATGGAATAGAGATGAGCTGCCAAAGTCCTCTGTTCAATTAGCAATCCAACTTAATAATAATAATAATAGTAATAGAAATATTAATGGTAACAATAATAATAATGATCTAAAAGGTATCGAATTCATTCACGATTATGTAAAGTCGAAGAAAAAGAAAAAAACAGAAACACTAGACTATCGGGTTTCATTTCTCTTTGTAACTTACCAAAGCGAAGTTGACCAACTCTGTCGCTTGCTTCATCTTCACCATATCCTAAAATGATCACATCAGCAGCAGTAGTAGTATTTTCTTCTTCCCCTGAGAAAGTCGGCATTTCATATCCTAAACTGCCTATTTCCACATACCCCTTCTCTAGGTTAAATGGTTTGTCTAAAATAAAAATTGAAATATCCGGTGAACCACCAAGGAGATCTTGATTATCTGTTAAACCAAGATTGATAGCATGACACTGATTTCGATAGGCCACGGGATAGGCAACACTATCAGCCTGACGATATTGTGCATAACTTGAATATCGACTGTCGAGATCTGTTACATTTGCATAGACCTAAGAAAGATTGAATAATAGAAGAACACAGAGAAAATGATAACAACATTCTGATATTACAGGATTTGTAATGAATGAGTTGACATTGATTAGAGAACCATTGGAAAACTAGCTGAGAGTACTGGACAGCTGTTCCATCCTAGTTTGAGACTCTTCAGCGGTACGCACCCACCACCAGGGTTTGAACCCACGAACTTCTTGTTACGAGGCAAGCTAGTTCGTAGACCATGAAGCTTAATGGTCGGGTGAGTACTGATGAAGAGTCCCAAACTAGTACTCCCAGGTTTTCCAATGATTCTCTAACCAGTGCAACCTAATGATGAAATCCTGTAACCAATCAATCAAATCCCTACAAACCAACACACTTGAATATTCTGATATTAATTAATAAATAATTAGATTCATTGATGACTTCAGTATTAATTAATTCAACTGCTCCTATTATTATTATGCCTTTGAGTTCCTAATGTAACAGGGCTTCAACAGCACATCTCCACGTTGTTCTTTCCTGTACGGTGGTCCTCTTTGGTTTACCCACTAACTGTCTATGAGTCGATCGAGAGGTGATTTGGCAACTACTACGCTACTACTAAGAAGGCGTGCCACCAACAAATATACATCTCATCCAACAGTTGTACGACAGTGGTGAATGCCAAGTAATCCACGAAAAAGAAACTCACGAAATCTTTCAAAGTAAAGACGGGAGTAAGACAAGGCTGGCTGGCTGCCTACTATCTCTAATAATTCTCCTGACTGCTGTAAACTGGATAGTGCGACAGACAGCGGGCAGCGCGGAAACAGGCATAGAATGGACTCACACAAAAAACTTGGAGGATTTGGACTTCGCCGATGTGATGTATATGTCTGATTTCCTACAAACTGGAAGATATATGCAAGTGAAAAGCAACAAGTTGGTGATAGAAGAAGAAGCATCAAAGACAGGATTTCAAGTGAACATAGAGAAAACAGAGGTGGTGTAGATTCCTGGCCAACAGCGACAGCGAAGAAAACAGTAGACAACAATCAGCATAAACGGGAGACATCTCAAAGAAGCAACCTCCTTTGCCTGCCCGCCTGAGAAGAACCGTCTCAAATACAGTCGGACGGAACTGATGACTTTATGAAAAGGCAGAACGGAAAGCAAGGCGAGCTTTCATCACTCTCAAGTCTGCGTGGAGATGAACAGGACTGACTTAGCATGAAAATGAAAACAAGATCCAGACTTTCGACTCAAATGTGAGGTCACTGCTGCTATATGGATCGGAGGTTTGGCGCCGCGTCGCAAACGCCAATTCGAACAAAATACAGACATTCATCAACAGTTGTTTTCGCTCAATACTACTCAAGATCACATGGTCGGCAAGAAAAGATCAGCAACGAGGAGGGAGGGATCTCTGGCAATGAACGAACCAACCAACCAACTCGTCAGAAAACAATTGTGCAACAAATATGCAGGAAGAAATGCAGATGGTGGATTAGCCATACTCTGAGAAAACAAACCATCATCAAGTGAGTGACATCCATCACACGCCAGCCTATCACTCGAGTGGAACACGAATGAGATGCGGCGAGTTTGTTATCTGTCAGTGCGAGGGTGACTTGGAGGAGGCCATATGAAGAGGAGATGAAAGGATATGGGCAGACGTGGATCCAGGTGATGAAAACGTTGGCAGAGAACCGAACGCAATAGAGACGTGTGGCTGACGCCCTATGTTTTTCCAGGAATCAAAGGAAACAATAATAATAATCCCTGCTAAGCTGTTAGAGAAAGGTACCCTGTCTAACCATTTTATCCTCTTTTTATACCCATTTATCTGGTTAATATACCTGTTTTTGATATAAGAAGTACTCCCTATTCTTGTGGCTGATGCATTCAACTTCAGGGATAATTTCGCGCCTGTTGGTGTTTATTATTTAACTTCACCAACTTCTAACCTAACACCACCCTTATGCGAACCCTAATTTTGTCTAGTTATTACCTATAAGCTTAAAACAACTAAATTTTGTATTTATCGTGCACTCACAAAGCTTTTATGTTCTTTATTAAGACGCCATTGGATGCTAACTCATTTAACTTAACAAGAAATATAATGATTTTCAAGGTCATTTTTGATCGATATGTATTGTTTTTTCTCTGGTTTGACCATGGATTGATATCAGTAAGATAACCATTGAAAACCTACCAGGGAGTACTGGACAGCCAGTTGTTCCGTCCTTCCTCTTTGGAAGCCATCGGCAGTATGCACCCACCACCGACGTTCGAACACAGGACCTTCAGGTTACGAGGTAAGCTGGTTCGTATACCATTCAGCCAACGGGACCCAACCTGATTCAGTGGCCAGCCCATGAATTCTAACTTCTATGAAATTCGTGATGCATTTAACCTGACTAGCACCAACTGATGTCATCGGCGGGGAATCCATCCTCACACACTTGACTGGATGGAACTCACTGGTCACGACTTCCCACTAGAACTGACTCTGGGAAACTCCATTCTGTAGCAAGTCACTAGCGAGCATCAGATATGTATTGAGCATCGAACTGGTTACACCACTAGCAAGCACTACTGATTGGTCATAAGTGGTATCAAACTACTCATGCCGATAAGTCAGCAGTATGTAGCACCACATAACTGTGCTTACTGAATAATTTAGGTTTACAAGAGAAACTGCATTCCTTCATACATTTATTCTCCTTGATGAATTTGAATAAAGCAGCAAAAACAACAGTGGTGGTTTGTGCAGAATATGAAGATGGTACCATCATTGTTAGTTGCGTTGGCTTCTTATCAGCTACTGCTTACAGTTTGCAAATTTTTCATAATGTTAGTTGACAGGAAGTTCTGGAATTAGTGAATAGTGCTCAGAAAATTGTGTTTATGTAATTTTTACACAGGCAGTTCAAGTTTAAACAAAATTAATGTATGTGTACAGTGGTAAAAGAGTTATGTAATAAAGACGAGAGATGCGTGAGACACAGAGTGACTATTAGATTAGGTAACAATGCACTAAGTTCAACTCAAATCATAGAAACAAGAGACAAGCAAAATTGCACTATATCAAAGTGGGTTGGGCGAAGTTAAATACAAAGATTACGTTATCAAATGAAAGAAATAACAAAGACATCCAATCACCACGGCTGGCAAGGAAAGACTAATAACTGCTTTTGATAGAAATTGCTTCGGCAAACTTGAGGAGAATCGAGCTCCTTTGTCTACTGATAACTTTAAAGTATTTTGCGATTTCTACTTCATGAGGAAATGTCTGGTAATAGCGCTACTATAAGAGTTTGTTCCCTTGAGACGTAGGCTTTTTGGCACATGTTCAGAAAATCGGAGGTGCCTGTGCCCTTCTATCTGTTCTCCCAATGTAACTGTTTCCGCAGATACACATAATATTGTATACACAGTTGGAGTTGTTAACATTCGAGAGGTGGGTATCTGTCGACTTTTGACTGCACCAAACAGCATGTTGTTCAATGGATGGGAAACCACTTTAGCCAGCTGCAAGATAGACTCTGACTAGTGACGTACTCAGTCTTCTGTTGACCATAGCTGCAATATTTTCACCTTTAAAACTGCGTTGAAGTTCCCCTACGAACTGTGTGAGCTGTAAAGCGGCATTCGACGAGAAAACTGCGAATTCGATTTAATGTATTGTCAGTTTGGCCAGGTTGTAGTTGGCTGACCAGAAGTTGGTTAGTTTGAAGTGAACTGGCTCAAATAACTGCGTCATACCAGGTACATAACCGGTGAGCTCAACCCGTAACGCGAGAAACCGCTATGCCGTTTACCATATCATTCAATTAGTAGTAGTATAAAGCGTCGTCATCTAGTCATTTGGCTGTTATCTCACAGAATTAGAACTCATTTATCAACGGTTCATCATCTTTCTTGTCGCCATCTTCGGATGATATTAATTTGGTTGATGTTGTGATTAGAGATTAGAATAGTTTATGTTAGCGCATTTAGATTCGTACGACTGGCAATCAATTAGGTCATATCACGCATCTTATTGAGCACATAAGTGTGTGAGCTACACTTTTGTTGATTTAAATTTTTTACTTGTAAATTACGGGGTCAAAGGGGAAAATTACCAACGATTTTCTTCCGCAAAACATGAAATAATCGCATGACAGTGTATGCATCTGCTCTGCTTAGTCATACAATTATAAATTGCATATGAAGAAAGTAATTAGTGTAGTAAGATGGCCTGTACTATTGATTATTTTGAGTAGTTGTGAACCACGCATGTAATCGCTAACATGATTAAAATTGATTGAAATATCATATAGCTGGGGTTTTTTTGGTTTAGAGCTCAGCTAGCTCATCAGTTTTGGAAAGCCAACTATCTAAACTATCTAACCAGAATTCGAGTAACTTGGAGTTCATTTGGTTGTCTGAGCCTAGTCTGACCTGGAATAGTGTTGTTGGACAAGACGGCAAACGAGTGAGAAGTCTGTCTGGTGCTTAAATCATTCTGACATAATTGATTTTCAACTTTTCATGATAGTTAGTAGTATGTGTCAACTTGCTATACTGATCTTTTTGTTTTTACCTTCATTTTTAAAAGCGTCTAAATGGAATTCGTTTTTCTATGCCAAGTGCTTCTGTTGTAGAAACTTGACCTATATCAAGGTGGATATCGTCTCAAATCTATGCCAGTTAGAGGACCACTGAAAACTGGAAAGAACTGGTTGGGTGGTCTGACTCTCCAGATGTATGCACCCGTGACCCAATCCCCCATTCTGGAGATTAAACTCAGGACCTCTGGCTTGAAGCTCTTCCTACGTTCCACTTGGAACCTAAAGGAATAAAAAAAAGCCCTTTGCGCATAACACTGATCACTTCTCATTAACCAATTCATTTAATTATTACAGTTTTTTAAGAAGATAGGTCGTTGGCCTTAATAACTCAGTAGTAACGTCTCAGATTACTGACAAGTGCCAATAAGCACGAAACTTCAATCAGATAAATCTGCCTGTCATACAAAATTAGTTGT